CATACACAAATATATATACATGCGCAATGGGCGTTTGAAGAGCAATTTCCTATTTCACATAACCATATGGCGTTTCCCTATGTGTATATGTTTGTCTTCTTGGACGGGGCGCTGGTAGCAATGGATAGTAACAATCGCTATTATCTTATTCTTTTACTTCCCTCCGACAAAAAAAAAAAAGGGTTCTGACAGACCGGAACTCCATGAAAAAGAAACACACATCTTGGACACGGTCCGAGAAACAATTCTCACAATACCCCACCCCTTTGCTAACAACAACAAGATATGTAAAAAAAATTAGTTGCCAATCTATACATTATTATTTACCTTTGTTCAAAACGTCGGTGTTCAGAACGTTCGACAATATTTTATGGTACTTTTTAAAATCGTAAAACATAAAAAGTAATTCAACTCGTATACTTGAAATTTAATTCAGATTATTTTGATATGTCTGTGTAGGTATATCAAAATATTTGAATGATGTCGATATTTATATTTTCTTATATATTTGTAATTTCTAAGAAAGGTGTTCTGTCGCTAGTCCTTTACATTTTACAAAAAATAAAGAAATAATAAAAATATCTTGTTTACTGAGACCGAATATTAAAAAATATTTCTGCGAATTACTTGATGGTTCTAGATATTATTATGTTTTTTAAATGCGTGGTTGAAGGCCATTAGATGCAACTTAATTATAATCAGAAAACGATAAGGTTTTTTCTTCTTTAGTATATGGTTGATTATTTTTCTTCGGTTCGCGTACATTATAATTATAATTTTTATTACCGGTTTTATGTGACAACACGGTATACATTTGATTTGCGTATCGTTTATTACGCTCACTTGTTTTGACCGAACTTCGCATTTATTAATTCTGCCGTTTTCTGTAATATTCGATCGATTTATACGCGATTTATACTTACGGATCGGAATGATTATTTTTCACAATATTCTACGACGAAAACATGTCAGTACCGCGGCCTATTTGGTGTGTCCGTCGTCGCATTGATCGTTTTACAATAGGAACAATGGTCGCGTGAAGGGTTCTCGCAGAAGTCGTTCTCAATATGATTATGATTATTATTATTTGAAAAAGATGTAGTGTACGGTGTGTGCGGTTCCTTTGTGATCATATCCTTCTCTTTCTCACTCTCTCTCTCTCTCTCTCTCGTTTGCGTGATACGAAAGAAAAACATTGTTATTACTATCGTCATCACTCTATATATGTGTACATTGTTCCTTTGTAAGCTGTTGCCTGCACACCCTTACCATCACGCACGCACAAATATATAAATGGGTACTATACTGATCGAATAATTACTGTACCGACCGGAGTCACAATTATTAAATTTACTTTTACGCTGTATATGGTAAGTGTGTGTGTGTGTGTGTGTGTGTGTGTGTGTGTATGCGCGCCTTATGTTAGATGAACGGAAAGATGCGCGGCAGTGCGGAGAACGCGTGCAGACAGGTGGCGTACCCCTAATACGATTCGTTCCAATTGTAGTCATCGGTGTACATACATACCGTAATAAATGCACGTGTAGAGAGGTACACGCAAGGTTGTAGTAAACACCGTCGTCTAGCAGTCCCCGCGCGTTTTCTTTATTAACCGGTGGCAGCGGACTCGTTATGCGTGAAGACGACTGACTGCTTGTGATGCGCGCGCGCCGAGTCCCGTCAGACGATACACTCGGGTCGGACATTCATTAACACCAAATGTTACGCAGGCACTCTGCACCCAATTCCTTCGCGTTACGTCTATTTCAATCAAAACCACTATGCCATATGGCATTACGGAGACGATGACGTATCGGACGGACGGAATTATCGTAATAAATGATTTCCCGACTTTCTTGCAGCTAACGGGGTGTACCGTTGAAAAACATCGTTTTTAATAATTGCTTTACGGTTTACGTTCTTAACCGACATTGGTGTCTTGGATTTCGATAGAATCCGCGACCCATCACGGTTTTGAAAAATGGTCTCGGCGTTTGTGTTTTTATCGAAACAATCGATCAAATTCGATAAACGGTTTACACGATTCGGGAAACTACTTTGAAATTCGGTTATGATCAGCTCGCAGATCGTATATGACGATAATAGATGTTAATCAATGTAAATTATGCAATCGATTAGGAAATTATTACATTATTCATGGAACGCGTCCACGGTTTTTTTTCCCTAGCAAATATGTTACAAATTGCTAGTGTTTGAATTGCATACTAATGTTCGCATTACTGAGGACACACCTTATAAAAACGTTAAATCCGGAGACTTAAACGATGGACGTTAATAACTGTGTGTCCAATAGCGGTCGAACACAACGCTCGAATCCGTCGACGCGTACACAGATTTCCGTCGGTGCGTTTTATTTTACTCGCCTATTCGTAATATCTTATAACGCGTTACGCGATAAAGTGCGTTATACTCGAATCCACACGGTAGCCCGTTGATAACCGCGGTCGTCAATATGGGCGGCAGCCAATTCCGTCAGACACTTGTGCTGTAGTGCCCGTATTCCGTTCGTCGTGTACGCCACTTGTGATACGTATGCGTAGCGGATACACGTACACGTACATAACGAGGCGCCCGCAAGAGGATCGCGTGCAGCACGAAACAGGCGGGAACCACTATAGCTACACCGTCATCAATCGACGAGACGTCCGATCGCCATGGAACGGTCTTGGGTCTTGCCGTAGCTCACGCGAGAAATAACAGCGAACGCGCGGGTAGAAGGGAGAAAAGCGACGAGTTACGAATAATTTAAGGACTTCCGTCCGACGCGTACCGCGCAATGCACTGCGCCGTCGAAATCTTACACGCGTAGTACGAAGCGATTTGCCGGGATCGCAGGTGACCGACCGACCGACCGGCAGCAGCAGGTGTATTAGCCGATGATATATAATAGCAATAACCCGCCGTAGGATAATATAATTATTGTCCTTTTTGTTTTCTCTCTCCGCGTTATTTATTTGTTTTTTTTTTCCTACACAAGAAAATCCCGTGCACTACACGTACACGCGGTATAAGTAAACGCGCGTGCCGCGCGATGTGCTCGAGAACCGGTACGCAGCTCGCGCGCGGTGGCGGCGCGAGGAAAACACACGAGACGTTATTCGCGCAAACGTAGCCCCCTCAGGCTTCAGGACGACCGGGTGCACAAGTAATCGTTAACCGAATCCGTACAGCTTACAAACCGTATACCGGTGCTACGAACGCGTTCGGTGTGCGCGTGCGGACCTCTCGACCTTGGCGCGCGCCGGACAGGTGTGTGGGTCCAGTCCCCTTGGGTCCTTTTACCTCTGACCTACGCGGAAGCTTCTCGAAAATGATAACTCACAAACATCAACCATAGGCGTGCGTGTTTCGCTCGTGCCCGCGTACCGTTTATTTGTTTTATTCTCAACACATCGCTTGAATATTACACCGACCCGTGTTCCATGCGTCAAGGGCGTATTTTTTTTGGTGGGGGGGGGAGGGCGAATCGATTGAATCCGTATTTAAGGAATCGATTATACTAGTATGTGAGATACACATTTTAAAATATTTTTAATGTGAATCGTTTTATAACGACATCAAATTACGCGTGGCTGAGAATACTGAATTGGACTTATTGTGGGGTACATACTTAGTCAAAAATCAAATAAAACATATGCGTAACTTTCGAAACACAGACAGGTGTTAAAAAATAACTACACAAAAGTCGATTCTAAGTGGATACGACATAAGATTAAAAAAAAAAAACCACAAATATTAAGGATTCACCCGATTTAAATATTATCAAAATTTGACTGAATCGAGCCTGAATTAAAGAAAAAAATTAGAGTCCCCCTCATAGAAGTAAGTTTAAATACGCCCCTGTCATGCGTTAACATAATTATTGTTAATACTTGGCGTTTAGTCTACGATCTGTCACAACAATACGATTATAGTTGATTTTTATGTATAGCTTGTTCATAGCGCGAGCAGTGTGACGGCATTTCGTTGGTATTTTTCTTAAACGATATATTACGATGAGAAGCACTTTTTGGCGGCGAAAGAAAATCGATCAACTATGTGTATTTATTTATGATTGTTTCGTACCATTTATTCGTATATGTTCGTTATCATTCCTAAAATATTCACACCTGATCTGTAATTTGATTAATATAATTTTATTACATTACAATCTATAGCTAAGAGAGGTAACCAATTGACTGATTGTTTACAGTTGAAAACATTATATTACTATAACGGTACAATCTAAAAATCGTTGAAGATACTTTTTTTTATAACGTTAATCTTTTTACTTCTACCGCGTTCCTTTTTACGCTCTTTAAAAATATTAAACGTACAATAGCAAACTTATTTCTGTGTGTGTGTGTGTGTGTGTGTATTATAACATGGTGTTTGTTTTTAACAAAACGCTCTTGGTGTGAAACTGTAGTCCTTAGAACAACGTAGACGAAAATACAAACAATAAATTTTTTCGCAATAAACAAATATAATGTTTCGAAAATATCATTAAATATTTATTTGTATAACATAATCGTATGCGTTTTATTCGTGCGAGCCAGACGCTCGAGTGGAACATATTATTTCCTTACAGCTTGCTCGTTGCTGTCTATAAAAAAGTAAAATATAATAATAATAATAATTTGATTTTTATCGTTGGTCGTATATGAATAAATTATACTTTATTACGCTTATACGACATAATATATATCCAGCCCAAATTCCGGCGGCTGTTAGTGCTTACGATCCGAAATTGATGTGTATTAAATTGTAGCAGTCGGCAGAAATCGGTTTTATTTTTACGACCAAGACGGTTAGGTTAAATTAGCCGAACCTGCTTCTGCGCCCATAGTTATATTTTTATTTCATTTTCTATTTCGTTGTCGTTCTCATTGAAAACTCAATTAACACCATTGAAAAATGAGTATATTCAATCGGTACCAATTCTATCAACATACTAAACGTGTTTCCTAATAAAATATTTTTTTATGATTTGTTCACAGGAAAAACCACACAAATGTACTCTGTGTGCAAAATCATTCCCTACTCCTGGTGATTTGAAATCTCACATGTACGTACACAACGGATCGTGGCCTTTTAAATGTCACATTTGCAACAGAGGATTCAGTAAGCACACGAATTTGAAAAATCATCTGTTTCTGCACACTGGTAAGTGAGTTGTAGTTTGTTTTTATTATTATTTTAGTATTATATGGCCAAAAAATATTTTTTTGTTAGTTTAATACCCAATTATATAAATATATATAATAATATTGTCTTTTACTATATTACGAGTATATATATGATATGTGCATTGTTAAAAATATAAATCTCAAAAATTTGCATTCAATAAAATTATCGAAAATGATTAAAAATCCATTATAAGTATGGTTCTTATTCAAATTCACCAATTAAATTGGGGATCGTTACAGGGAAAACGTTTATTTTGTACGCATACCCTATTGAAAAAGAGTAATTACTCTGAAATAATAATACAAACTTAATTAAAAAATCATGTTTCAAAAACTAAGTGTTTTGTGTTACCATAGCATTTATATAATTTTCGAGATAATCATTGACGATATAGTAACCAATATCGAGTTAAATATTTTTTCACTTATAGTAGTCACTGGCTGTAAAAATACTTTCATTATGTTAGACAATATTTTATGTAGTGGATGATTGGTATTTTTATCATGTTCATTAGTATTATTATTTTTTTACTTTTCCACGTCACAACAACAACTACACTTTTATTGTATAGAACATCCTTACCGTATATTATCTTCATCGTCTCGTCCAAGTAGGCGGTCGTCGTCGTTGTCGTCATCGTCAAGGTCTAGACGGGATTTTAGGGATACAATGTCGTTCTTTCGGTTAATCCTTTATTGATGGAATCGTATTTTTTTTTCTTCCACTGCACGTTGTTACACACGTTGCCCCGAGAGAAGTCGGGATTCCTTCGTATATTAGAATACATACTCGTACAGTCGTAGGCAGGAAGGTAGGTGGGTAGATATAGAAGATCAATGCTTCAGGCCAACCCCGAAGTGACGAGCCTGGACCGGATTTACCGTCTTTATTATTACTATACGTGCGTCGGCTCATTATCTTCGACGGTGGCGGCAGCAACAGTAGCTCGATCACCCGTAAATATAATATTATGTTGTCAGTGTGGGAGCAAGGGCACTATGCTGCAGAGAAGAGTTAGGTACACGGGAAAGATACGATGCCGAACCACGCGTGAATTATATATTTTAGTTTTATATCGCTACCTATAAATATGATTTGATAGCGTTATTCGGATTAATTACGTAGTATCCACTTGAAACATCTAATACATGCGTTCATGTCGTATAATAATTATTCAATTAATTATAAATTATTCAATCACCGCCTTCGGCCCTACATAATGTACTATTTTTTTTTCAATAACAACTCGATTTTATTTTTTCGACTTGAATAATAAAAAAATGTACAGTCTATTATACAGTTCTTAAGATTAACTATTACAATTTCGTACGCACTTGATATTAACTGCCAAAAAAAAAAAAAAGTAAACAAATTATATATTTACATGTTACAGCATGCAGCGTGTGAATAGATTTTATATTTTAACTGTGTTTAGAATAATAATTCGTGTGTACACAGGTCATGTCTGTCCGTGTAGTTTGTCTTCGCCAGTAACTTATATTTTTCCGAGGTAATATTTTTCATATTATTACGTTCCTGTATCGAAAAATATATAAACACGTGGTCCTACAGTAACGAAATATCACGGAAATATGAAAAAAAAAAAAAAACATCGCGAAGAAAAAATGAATAAAAATGCTATCGCCGCGGGACAAACACGGCCGAGACACCTGTGATTTGTATGCCTACTCACGAGTGTTGCGAATAAACACGTGTACGAGTGACATTATTACCGTCTGTTACAAGCGATGGAAATAATAAATTGTTTCTCAGCCGATATTGTTGACACGCGTAATACGGAACGGAATTAAGACAATGGTAATGGCCGTTGATTGATTACGAAATAAAACGCATCGGTTTTGCGTAGGTACCGCGGCGCAGCGTTTTCCAAGCGTATCCACGTGTCCGAACCGATCGAAGCAAAACAATTCGAGAACGGGTGCTGTTTTGTGCGATTATTGTTGTCGATCACGGATATTCGTCGAGTTGCGTTACGGTGCGTTGTTGGTGCGCTTAATTATAGAACGTTCGTGCGCCGTCGTGAAGCTGACAAGGCGGAATGCGACACGGCGCGCCAGCAATTGCCTACACGTGGGGAGTTGCGCGCATAGAGTCGTACGTGCCATATTGCACAATTATGAACTTGATTACGATACAAACGTTTAACGTGTTCTATCTCCATATATTTCTTATTTTCAATCGAAAATCCATTACGCAATTTCTCTCTCTCTCTCTCTCTCTCTCTCTCCGCCTCTCCGGTCCGCACGTCTGCGGCGCACATGCGCGCGTTGTAATATTATACTTGCGAGACCTTGACACTGTGCAAACAGGCGCGTGTCAGCTTCCGAGGGCAAACCGTGCGCAATAACTTCAGCGCGCAACGTGTGTACAAACTCGTCCTTGAACTTCGATGGAGGTTCTCTCCGTCGCTCACCCCGTCCGTCACAATCGCACCCCGTCCAGCGTCTCCCTCTTCGTTTCCAAAGCGCTTTTTCGCGCGTGCGTTTCGAAATCGTATTTTTCGATCCGTTTAACGGAACGGCATTTAACAACTGTTAAGATTTATCAACGTACTCATCAACACTGTACGCGTTCGGTGCACGATAAGCAATTTTTTTTTTCACCATGACTTTCCGGCGTGCACGTGCATCATTGTGCGCATTTGTTGTGTTGCATTACGTGGAAACGCGATTTACGCGATTCGCCATTATTTTATGCAACGAAACCGGATAGGTTTGGACGGATAGTTCAATCGCGTTCCGTTTGCAAGGAACGCGCTATTTTTTTATTGCATTCGCGTGTGTCACTTTTATGTTGGGATACGTCATCATCATCATCATTATCGTCATCACCACCATTCATACGCCTATAACGTACGTTTCTCGTAAAATATAGACGTCCAAGGTGCGCGCGTTTATATCCGTACTAAATTAAGCTGTTAACTGTCACTAGTCGTTTTACCAGAAGAAAAATATTATTATTCGCTTACGGACTGTAAAAACCCAACCAGTTTTGTAATTAATAAACCGATCCGTAATTACAGTACAAGTGTGAGTTTGAGCATTAAAAATGGCAGTTTAGTCATTTTTATTGTCATTTTAATTCCCCGAAGACCTACTTGTTAAGTAGAACGTTTTCGTCAATACAATAACAGCAATGAAATATACACCAATAATACCGCAGTCGAAACACGTTAGAAATTTAAACCATAAACAGATACCTATATTAACCGAGCGGCTGAGAAGGCCAATATTTATATTGAATATTAATGTGCCGTTATAATCTATATAAATTATTTATTTATATTTTTAATCCGTGGCAGCTCTGATATCGTTCGATGTATGTTGAAGCAACTGTAGATTTTTATTGGTAGGTCTGTAGGTTAAACGGAACCCGTATTGTATGTAACCAACGCGCCGCACTGCGTCTCAAAATTAAATGAAAAAAAATCATCTACACCTATATATGTACGGAAGTGTTCTAAAATAGTATGTTGTTAAGTTTGAACGAAAACCATTCACATCAGCGATTTATTTGAATTCATGTTCTCCTGAGTACTATTCAATATTCATTTATTCAAGTTATTTTATTTTCCTATAATTTATAACGAAATGTTATGAAACCTATGGATCGGCCAAACAAGTCAAACCCGTCAATTTTTTTTTCACCCCATAAAATCTGCATACAGCGATCTCAGACTTTTCAAGTCTGTTAATATTATGAAGACTCTTTTTGTCAGCGATTGTTGGGGTTTCTATGATAATCAATGAAAAGTTAAAAACAGAATAAATCTCATTTCAAAACAGGTCTACTTAATAATTAGCACGGTCGATTAAACCGTAAACATATTATCTGAATTTACCAGAAATCGAAAAAAAATATTGGTTTTATCCACTCATTTGATTAAAAAAATAATTGATATGTTAATTTTATTCATTATTTCATTAATTTGATCAATATCAATAATTTTTCCTTAATTTTTTATTTACAAAAAAAAAAAAAAAAATAAATAAAAAGTAGGTAAGTATATGAAAATGCATATACTAATTAAACATACTTAACATAAAACATCCTTAATAATCAAAAAACACATCATCTAAATGCAAGTCCTCATGCATATATTTATATTGTATTTACACACCGAACGCTTATTGAAGTAAATTATAATCTAAATTTAATTACCAAGAAGTGTTGTTTGGTTATTATAATATATTTTTTTACCGAACGCTTAATTCTTCCTTATTTCCTTTGGTTGCGGGTAATAATATCGCCCAAGATATAAATCGACACCCTTACAATTATCAAGCCAGAACAAAACTGTATTATGTTTTATTTTTTATGATCTCATCCGTGACTTTCAAATTGATCATGCCACCCTATATTATACATCATATAAATTATAAATATAGCATATCGTGAACGTATACCTGTATGCGCTTTATATATTATTATTATTATTATTATTATACGAGTTGTCTGTTTCAATTAACTTAATGATGTTCTTTGATTAAAAAAAAAAAAAATACTGTGCACTACCGCATGTCGATGGAGACAACGGCCAGAATAATGTTCGTCTCTTGCGGTGCCAACAATGTGTTCTTCCCTGCGGTGGTCTTCCTTTGGTGTAAATCGTGTAATTTCTTCTAACCGTTCTTAAATATATTTATTAAAAAATTACGTATAAGAAAATGTCTGCGAAATCATTAATCTCAACAACACCTTCGGAATTTAAAATAATATTGATACTTCGCCCCTTCGGTAATACGATTCACCCACTTCAGTACGATACGGGTAAATAATTCGCGATAAATATTAAAATTTCAATCTGAAACGGGTACAACGAATATACCGGGTGTAACCGTTTATGATTTATCAATATAAATGTTTTTATTTTATAATTATGAATCACATGCATTCCATATAAATGAGACCTTTACATAATGTATTAAGTATACATTACATTATGTTTAAAACCT